TAAAATTAACTATGTGTAAAACTGCATGCTGTAGGATCGGCATGGACTTTAAAAGCTGAGGAAAGACTGAATCTGAACAAACACTCGCAGAGTAAGAACAGTACAGGTACATCAACCTGTACACAGCCGAACACCCCTCTAGGCTCAAAGCCATAACGAATTAGGGTTTGACTGACGAACCCATCACTGAATGAAAACTTGCTGTAAAATGTGCAGAGGAAAGAACTGGTTTCCCTGTAGTTACTGAGCCTGAGCTAGGGATGGAGACAGATATATAAGGAGGCTCACGATTTCTGTTAAGTCCCAAGGAAAGCAGAAAGAAGCCTGGTTTCCAGCTAGCTACCGCTTTGCCCCCCAGATTCCTCCAAAGGAATGGTTCAACTCTGTTAGGTAAGCCTAGCAAGTAGCCAATCCCTGGTCAGGGGATTGGTGGGCTGTCACAGGTCAGACCTGGGCCAAATGACCCAAATGACCCTGGCCTGTAACAGAACAACTTCTGGAATTGGAGATGGTGGGGGAAAGGGTAGGCCTTGGCAGGGAAAGGAACACACTGATGTGTGGAAGAGGGCAATTCAGCAGACTATGAGGAAGACATTGGACCCTCTCTACTGCCCTGTGCAGAAATCTTCTAGGGCCTTATGAAGTTTCCTCTAAAGACTCCTCTAAAGTTCTCACTTAATGAGAACTTGTTGCTACCATGTGCATTTGACCAAATACATTTGTTCATAAATGTTCTCTGGGAGCCTGAGCTGGGCCTCATTCAAATCAACGCACCTCGAAGCCATTCCAATCCTTGTTTTGTGACAGGAGCACACTATGTAGCTCAATCTAGCCTCAAATGCACAATCCTCCTGCCTGTGTCCCGATGGTGGGGTCACAGGCCTGCACCCCCCCCCGACCAGTACTTTCAGCCACCAGGGCCTGAACCTGGTTTCTCCACGCCCCCATCAACGCTTCCAACGTGCAGGGTAAAAGGGCCACAGGGGGACAGCGCTGAATTGACAGCCAACACTGTCCTTATCCTGCCTCAGGAAGAAGGAGGTTGTGAACACTAATAGTTTATCATCGTGTCTCCACCAATACATATGTGGTCAAGTTGTCTCTGGAACACAGATCACAGTAGTAGGGTCAAAGCACAGGTGCAGGGCTGAGGGTGTAAGTTAAATGGTAGAGCTTTGTGCCAAGCAAGCACAAAACTGAGTGCAACACCAGTGAACGGAACAAAAGGTGGAGTCACTGAAGGCAACTAGGTATTTAGCTCCTAGACTATGGGTATATTGTTGGGCCTAGGGCCTATGGCATCCATAATGGCACATACCCCGCCCCAGAACTATGGCCCGGCAGTGCATGAGTACAGAGGGCACCTTTACAGCTCCTGCCCTGAGCACAGAGCCCTGCTGGTGGTAGGTGTGAGCTAAATAAAGGAGCCATACATCTAGTCCCCACATAGCAAGAGCCACATTGAGCTGGGCAGAACCGCACGTCCTCTGAAATCACAACAGGAAACAGATGTGAGAACTGTGGGTGGCTGGCATGGCTCCTCGCTGAGCCTGACACCACTCAGCTTTGCTCTATGCCATCTAGGATTCTCCTCCGGATGCTTTTCACTCAAGGCTAGCACTCTGTCACTTGAGCCACAACTCCACTTCTGCCTTTTGTCTTTTTTGGTCAGTTGTGGGGCTTGAACTCAAGGCTTAGGTGCTGTCCCTGAGCCTCTTTGTGCTCAAGGCTAGCGCTCTACCGCGTAAGCCACAGCACCAGGATCTCGGGACAGGCAGGAGCCACCAGCACCGGCCACTTCTGGCTTTTTGGTGGTAAGTTGGAGACTGTCAGTTTGCTTTCTACAATGAGTGTACTAAAAATGCTCTGTGCTGAGAAATAAGTGTGAAGAAGGGAAGCAGGGCTGCCAGCGGACGGAGGCGGCTAGGAAGTTGTTCCTTAACCCCGGGAACAGCCACCTCGCCAACGGAAGCACGCTGTCCCAGGCCAGCCGGGGCTGGGGCTGGGGCCCGGACCTCTCCCGATGGATGGCCCACATCCCGGCGCCCACTTCCGCCACACACCGGTGACCGGCGGGTGTGGAGCGCTTCCTCGGGCCGGCGGGGTGCCAAGCCCTCTGCGCTTCATTCTGCCCGGTGCCCGGGGGTGCCCCGTCGGGAGCGCGCGCCCGGGCACACGCACGCGGGGTCCCCCGAGGGGTGCCCCGTCGGGA